CCGCATTGCGTCGGTGCCTTGCTGCTACACCGACACAGTGAAACCAACTGCTGAGAAGACAGTGCGTTTTGCCAATCAAAAACTACGTCGAGAAATACATTAAGAAACGAACCAAACAGAAGCGCAGCGAATTGTGATACCACGAGGGTTCTCTGCAACTGCCGGAATCTCTGGACCCCATCTCGCCACCATCGCAGCAGCTCGAAAGGCAGCGTCGGGGTTGTGGCACCTCGGTCAGACGCCCTTTCTCAGGCCTGGCTGCACACAATGAATCAATCAATCGCACTCGGGGTCTCCGTGGAACTTTCTCTTGTCAGATACACGAGCGCTCAAGTGGCCCATAGCGGCCAACCTGCGGCACCGACAAGGTGGAGGAGAAGCTGCTCTTTCGAGTGGCAAGCTTTGATAAAGAAAAAAGAGGACGATGAAAATGAACGAGGCGAGGACACGACGAAGCACAAAAGCTACGGCGGTGTAGGCCGGTGCATCGCAGCCCTTTGCGTGGAGGTTGCATTGAGATGGGGAAAGGGGCGATGGACGACCAGTGGTGGCCGCATACGCGCTTGACCCCCGGCGCGATCGGTCTTGACCGGACCCGATCTCCAGCTGCGCCATTCACAGCCGCGCTGACAGTGGAGTGAGAAAGGCGCGCTGCTTGCTGCAGCCATAGCACCACAGACAGGCAGCTTTACGCCACTTGTTCTCTCTTGTGTTTCTTTTTTTTTTCTTTGGGGGGGGGGGTACGACTGGCCACAGATTCGCGTACCACATGCGCTGCAAAGGCTACGGTTTGGGATTGCTTAAACGTTGCAGGTTACGAGAGTACGAACGTGTAAAGGCGTAATGCGGAAGTTTCATCGACAGCGGCGCCGATGCTGAGGAGAGAGATAGATTGACTGGCTTTGTAAACATTAACTGCAGAAATAAGTATAGATAGATCGGCAGGGTAATTCTATATAGATGTCCAGCAGACTGGCGTCTGGTTTTCCACCTTGTATTATAGGAGGGAATGTGCGATGAATGGAGGGTAATAAATGGAAAGAAAATGTTTTAGTGGTGGATGCATGCGCAATAATCCGTAGGTCTCGTGACTTAGCGATCGCACAACTTGGATCTGGGCAGGGTATATGAAGGTAGTTGCTGACTCTCAGCTTCTTGAAGTTTTGTTTAAAAAGCCGGGTTGTTATCTCACAGTTCAACTCAATGCTGTTGTTTGAAAAGTAGGTAAACGCAGTCACGCTACTGCGGTTCTGTTCGTATGCGCAGGCATATACAGCTTTTATCGCCGCTTACCGCCTTTAGTGTTGACTCAGCGGAGACGTGTAAAAGAAAGGGAGCGGTTGACATTGCTTACTGGGTGATCTGGTTCATCGTAGGTTCGCGCGAGTGGTTTTTGAACTCGTGTGGTTTGCGAAGTGTACTCAGGGGAGCACTCATTCGTGAGTTCATCAAAATTACCCTGAAACACTTCTCAGCATTGTCATAAAACACTGCCTATAGGTAGTCGAGGCTTCTGATAACACACGAACCAAACATTATGTCGCAGCATGACGCCAGGAATTTACAATGAACTCTTGAAAGCAGTTAGATATAGCTCCCTATTTTCACTACAAATGATGTCGTATGCCCGAAATATGCGACATACACCCAAGTCCATGGCTGTGGGCTAATTTGAGTATCGTGAGCAGCGTAGTTACCGTGGCCGCCATAGGAGGTCGCCACATTATAGCCATCACACAGAAGGAAAGCCATGCACTCGAGGAAGGAAAGGACGGCAGAGAAAGGAAAGGCAGAGATTATAACCACTCTAGAAAGATGAATATGCTGCCTTACGCTTGAGAAAATGACATGGGAGCTCTAAAAGTGTTGAAAGAGACAGAGAGCAGAGCACGCGCACAGAATGTGCGTGCTCTCGAAAAGTGCTGAAGGTGGTCACACGCACTGATCAAAAGACTCATAGACGCTGAGACGGTGCTTAAAACATGCGAAGAATCCCTGTATCTCTACTTGTACTTGACGGATTCTGAAAACAATTTTGCGGTAGTGAGGGGATACGCTCTGTATCACTCATGAGGTGATACGCTCTATCAATGAAGCCATTAGACGATTTATCATAGATGTGTTGCGGGGTTTATTTAAAACGCACATTTTCCGTTTCTGTGAATGCAACAACACCATTTGATTTTTGATTCCATAATAATAGATTGACACGGAGCAAGACGCGAAAAAGAAGTGAGGCTGATTACCGGAGTAGGTGGAAAGCGTTCGCTCACGTGCGCATGTTGGCGTGTTTGTGTTTGGGTGCGTATGGGCGCGACAAAGGAAATTGGCAGAGTACGTAAAAGCTTCAATTGATCTTACGTCACTAACAAACATGGACAGCTCAGAAAGAATTGGTCTTAACTGCGTATGCCAAAGAGACATTTATCTGTCTCATTTCGGTCGTTACAGGTTAATGCTAGCTTCAAGCGTATCTCACATTGGATAAGCTCGCAGAATGGCGCAATGCTTATTAGGCGGGCTAGTCGGTTCTTCAACAATATGGTCGAACATCGCAAAATACTGGGGCAGTTAAACACACGGGACACGGCGCTGTGTCCCGCGTGTTCCACTCTCCCGCATTTTGCGCTGTTCGGCCACAATGCTCATAGTACAATTTCTTGCTAGGCACTCGAGCTATGCAGTCTGCCTGAATAGTGAACATCGGCGAGCACTCACACTATGTGCGCTTCACATTCCCCGTTCCCGCGTGTGTCAACCTGCCTCGACGCCACCGCTTGAGATTGGATTTACAAAGAAATGGATACAAGATTCGGCGCTGCGTCTCGTCAGGCCGCAATTCAATTTCGAAGCAAACAACCAGCGAGCGTGCACCTCGAGCGACGTGTTCGTTCATGAACCCGAGAAGAACACCGACCTCTGGCGGAGCTCACAAACACGTCGCTACCCACACCCGCTGCGCTTCCCACCGAAAAATACGAGAGGTATCCTACAGCGACCAGCGTTGCCCACTCCCCTTGTTACAAACCCTAGCGCGCCCGTCGGGTGCCGTCCACACTTACACTCTCTCTCACGCACGCTGGCGACGCGCCGCGGGAGATGGGCGCGCGCATATTACGTGTCGTCGTCCCTCGAAAATGAGATCGGCTACTTGGACCAACGCCGCTGCACCGCAGAGAAGCAAGCGCGCCCGAAAATGGAAAGGAAAGGAAGGGGGAATGCGCCACGCTACGGCGAAGCTCCGGGGAGAAGCCGAACCAGTGAACTGTCTTTCGAGAGGCGTACGTCCTGTCAAATTGAAATGGCCGCACGTTGTTGTTGTCGTTGGAGAACACCGGGGTAGCGGGGATGGTGAGCTTTTTTTTTCGCGAAGGGCCACGTATCAAGAGTGAGGTGGTTACTGGGCGCCCGTCCTCCGGACACGGGGCAAATTGGATGGAAAGGCGCGGAGGAGCAGTGATGATGCCACAGACCCGCAGCAAACAGGCCAACCAAACCGCTTTTTTTACGCCGTCGCATTTTCGTGGGCGCGCCACGGCGCCCAAAGTGGATTTTTGAAGCTTGATTGCGTAGCGTGCCCTGGGGACGAGCGAGCCTCTGGTTTTGTGGCGGGACAGGCGACCACTATGTGTACCGTATATCGTTGTATATTTTCTGATACTTTCTCGGTTTTCTCGTAATATAGCTCGACACGTCTGTTTCTCGCTGAACGTGAGCATTGGCCGAATTGGCCGAATATTTGCGACTAAACTTGCTCGGAGGCGGCGCGATGCTTCCTCGTCTACATAGCCATCGCGTGGTTGACGTGCCTGCGCAACGGAGCCTGGTGCGTTGTGGCGGCTCCTGTGAAATAGGCCGCTTTGTCTTTTTCAGCGGCAATGCTACGAAAGCTGAGGGTCTAAAAGTTGAAAAGAAGCGATTCTTCTAGGTGCAAGCTCCCCCCGACCCGTAACGTGGTTTTCCTTTCGACTTCACCGCGTTCAGCATCGCGCCTCGTGAAAGCTCGGATGCCGGCGGGATAAGGCTGTTCCTCGCGAATGATGCTATTGTTCCGCACAAACCCGTGAAGCATAATGTTGGTGACTGTGTGAGAATGAAGAGCATGTGCTATAGATTGTCCGCCGCTGTTCCTGCTGGGAAGAGAGATAAGTGCGATGTAATCAGCGAGTCGTAGGCAACTGCATGGTCGATTCCTCTCCTGTGCAAGGATCAGTGGGTTGTGTGGAACGATTCTTGGAGCATAGGTTCTTCAATGTCAGGTTTGCTTCGGTTTGAAAGTTGGTTTTTACGTTTTGGATATATACGCACCACGAATGTTTAACATGGGCGGCTAGATTTTTTTCGCGTGCTTTGGATGACATCATACAAAGCCATATTTATGTCTTCTGGGCTTCTTTACATGTTTCCTTCAATTCACTGCTATAGCTGCCTTAGAGGGCTTTGTTACTTCTGCGATACAACACACCTTCCGCAACCCCCCCTCCCTTTTTTTTCTTTCTTGCAATTCCTTTTAAGCCAATCATATGGTTGTTATAAGATTATATGAACATGAAGGTTTCCTCTATAAAAGCGTTCATGACGTTACAACGAGCCTATTGAAATGTTGGGCAGGTTACTATATCGAAATATGCCGGTCAATGATTAAAAGAAAAGAAAAGGAAAATAGGAGAGAGAGGAAATATCGCAGAAGAACGTAGGGCAGGTGAGCATGGTCCCAAGAGAGCACATGACAACACAAATGTCCATTAGGTTGGGAGTGTTTGTGTTTTACTTTTCCAGCTAGTTTGTCCGTGTGCGAATGCCTTACCTTCTCTCATGGTGAATCTTCACCACCAAGTTGAGCTTTTTTGCCACTCTAAACGGTAAATAGCGCTTGCGAACTGATATTTACTCACCTAGCTTTTCCTGTATGTATTCCTACATTTTGGAGCTGTTTTATTTCCAAAGGTGTCGATAACAGCAGGCTGATGTCTCGTGGTTTGTTTCTTTACACCTTGCAGCCAAGCCCGGCCACCCAAGCGTTCCTCGCTGATGTCGATGAGTCCGAGCAATGGGAGTCCACTGGGCATGATGGGCAAGAAGGGCCGCATGGACGACTACCCGGGATACGAGAACGGACACTTGGCAGGTTGGTGTGCTTCGTCCACGATAATCGTCTCGAAGTGACGTGCTTTGTAGTTATGTAGTGTTTACGTGTACTTAGAACGTATTCTATCTATGCAACGCGAGCCGTTGCATAAAAACTTGGGGACATGTGCATATAGCGACAGCTCTCTCGGGTGCCAGCGGTGGTCTGCCGTAACTTAATGGGAAATTGGCGAGAAAAATCGTATCTGGCAGAAAAAAAAGCTACCTACCAAAAAGGCCTCCCGGTTCTATACATTACCTATTCAAATATTGTGAGAAACTTGCAGTGTTGCACTACAAATGACGTGGTTTCCAACAGTGTTTAATATTTTACAATGCGGCCCCATTTGTTTCTCATGAGGGTGTTCAATTGTCCCTGAGAAAAAAAAAACCACACAATTATTATTGCGATAGTGCAATTATACCAAAACGTTCCAGTGTGTTTCCTGTATAAAAACCAAAGTCCTTTTTTTGTTACTTGCGTTTTTCGTGAGATAAGACTTTTCCCCTCCTAGTTCACGTTCAGATATGGCAGGACGCCTTCACTGCCACCTGGCACCGCGTACAAATATCCCCAGATTCCTGGCTATGTGGGTGAGGTGGAAAATTGGCAACTTATGATCTTGTCTGCACCTCAAACTAGGTAACCTCAGTATGAGCAAGCATAATATTAAGAAAGCATATTCAGAGTATTTTTTGACAGCGCCTGTACGTTTGGACGCACACAGAACTTCACTCGACAGTAAACCGCGGATCAAAAAAAAAAAAAAAAAAACAGCAGTGCCAACTCAGACGGCATTTAAAGAAGCTGACGTCACACGGCCGTCACCGAAGATAAACGAAGAAGAAAAGTAGGCAGTGCGTATAGGGACAGTCTCCCCCAAACGCGCGCCGCCAATCGTAAAGTCGTTGCGCTCACGCGTTGTAGAGCTCCGCTCCACCACGAAGCGCTCGTGCACTCACTCGTTCCGAGGCGTGTTTTATTTCCCCGTTCCCGAAGTCTGCCAACTATCTTTCAACTCTCTGGGCGCCTCGGAAATTTATTATCTCTGGAAAGCGCGCACCGCTTTGCAACGGCATCGGCAGTATAGGACTTGTTTCTGGCGTCACCCTCTTTTGCACGCATTTTCGCGCCCTTTACAGCTCCTCTCTCATTTATTATCACAATGTTATTTAAATCCGCTTTCCACGTTGCGGGCCACGTTGATTTCGTCTTCGCTGCTCACTCTTCGCACGCTCACAGGCTCAGCTTCAGTCTTCACTTATACAATGCCCTCAGCCTTTCCATTTTCTTCTGGTTCCCTTTCCGAGTCGAATTTTCGAGAGGTCCTGTCACGCATGGGTAGCATGCGACCCGTGTTTTCGCCAGTGTATTTTTTTAATCACTCAAAATGAAATTCAAATCAGAACGAAAGAGCGTTACTCTATGCTATTCACCCTGCGGGGTGAATGGTAGAGGGAGAGGGCGAAGAGGGGGCCATCGGTGGAGAAGCGATCAAGTTGTTTTCTCCGTACAGCCTGCTTACTCGCCATAGGAGGCTCCTTAAAATGGAATACAATACGCACATTTGGCTGCTAGTTGAAGATGCAAGAGGCAGAATATGCAGCGAGCTAGACAACGACGGAACGCGAGCCCTTTTTTATTGGTCTCGCCCGAGTCACGATATATTTCTCTCTCTTTCCTGCTAGAGAAACCCAAGCACTGGATGCGGTGTCAGAGGCACGGGGGTGTGAGAGGGTAGGGAGGGAGTGATGGGCATGTATATGTACGGGACTGGCTCGCGATTTTATTGGCCTGATATAGTTTTACGATTACTTCGCTTTTATTAACCGCCGAGAACACGAGTGGAGCCGTAAAAATTCTTCCCCCGTCTTTGTCGTCGTCTTCGGTGCAGGAACAAACGTGTGTGCGCATTCGTGCAAAAAAAAAAAAGAATAAAAACGGTCGCCGGAAACTGTGTGGCCGAGACAAGATGTCGAATGCTCCCTGATCACCATGCACCGCATATTTTGTCTATCTTATGTTTTTTTCGTGTTCCTTCCTTCGCCCGGGTCTCGTATTTAGTTCATTTACATCTCCAAGTAGCTTGCCGCACTCTCGCTCGACTCATCGTATACCATATACTGCGGTATTTGATCTCTAGTATTCCTTCCTTGTTTTGTTTCGCTTTTCTACGCACGCACGAGTCTGTGGCATGCCAGTTGAACGCGCGCCACCGTTTTACAGTCCCGGCCGAGGAAACAGAAGCCGCTCTTCGACAATCGTGAAGTTAACACGCCGTTCTGGTCATAAAAGAGAACAAGACGAGCGGGTTGTAGAAGATTCGAAAAATCGGAAAGGCGGGAACTGGCGTGGGAAGGGTACTTCGTGAGGGCGGACAGCGTCGGTGCTTTTAAGAGATCGAGCAGTGCAGCTGCTTTTTCTACGGGTTAAAAAACCTCGCACCAACCGCGCATTCTCGTGGAACTGCGTATCGCGATTGGCCCGGCCTCCTATAGACGTTTTTTTTTTCTCCTATTCTATTTGACATCGTAGCTTTCACGTCGTATACTCTAAGTCTTGTCGATAACTCGACTTTGTTACGTGCCGCGTGGAACACTGATAAGGCGGAGAGGCGACATTTTACGAAGTTGCATATCGTGCGCATTCGAGCGAATAAACGACGAAATGTTTATATCTCTATCTACACCCGGGTGATGGGGTAGAAAACGTTGCGTTGAGTTCGCGATGTGGACGATGGGATACTAGGAGTTGTACAGTTTTATGATTCTGAGGACCTGGTAATAAACAGTAGGTGTTCAGTTCGACGCTTATCAAGAAAAATGTAATTCGCAGAAACAGATTAATTTTAAATTCAGTAGTGTGAGCTCTGCAGTCGTCAAACCTAGTTTTTAAGAAAAAAAAGAAATAGTATGTGAGAACGCCCAACAGTATATAAGCATATCACATTGGCATGTTGGTTATAGCAAGAAGTAATAATTGACACAAAATTCAAAATGTGTCTCCAAGTGCATCTTTGGTAATATTCGCGAGCTTTTTTCCGATTAGCATTTTTTTCTTGGCAGTGCTACACACATACCTTGCAAACAGCGGTGCCAGTTTCGGTTCAAACAAGGCCAAATGATGACTTCACCGGATGATAGCTGTCTCTTGAGCAAGCTAATTACATCGCCAGAGCACGCCCATATATTTCACCTCAAAAGGCGCACAAATTGTGGTCAGAAGCGTTGTTGTGTAGCGATGTTGTTATGACAACCTCGGCGATGACATTGCACTATCAATAAACCTCTACTGAACGTTAACCACCTAATCTTGTTTTTCAAGAAAGAGACGGGAATGAAGAAATTGAGTGATTGCCTCGACTTTCCTGACCAGAACATCTTGTTTTATCAACCGAAATTTATTTGTTTAATAATTTGGCCCTAATCAAGTGTTGTTATCTTGCGTGTAAGCAATTAACAGAAGCGTGATGTCACTTCCTTGCACAGGGAATCACGTATGCTATCGCAACAGCCCTATAAATAGAAACAGCGATAAGGCAGTCACGCAGCGGAATACCACGGCTCAACCGATCCTGTATCTGACGGGAGATGAAACGAGCACTGGCGCACGTGTTTGAGTACCTAATCAGCTGCCGCTGATGTTCCAGGCTGGCAGAACCTTAATGCTTATCGATCGAATAGGGAAAACAAAAAGAGAGACTCAACTCAACGAAAGGATCCGTATGCCACAGCCCGGGCTGAAACAGCGGCTCACATCGGCGCATGCAATATTTATGCACGCAGGCCCATTCTTAAGATAAAGGAACGCAGCGCGCTGCGGAAGGGTGCATGCCGCGAGGAAATGCGCATACGAACTGCGCGAAGGGCCGAGGAAATAGACGGTGGGACGCAATGCGCTAAAGAGAGGCAACGCACAGAATGATGGAAGACGTCTCGCGGGCGACAGGCCGTCGACGAAGAAGCAGCACGAAGTGCGTACACGAGAACCACGAGAAAAAAAAGGGAAAGACAAAGACAGAATGAGGGGAAAGAAAGGAACGTGTGTGGGAATGAAGAGAAAAAATTCGGGAAGGCGACGCCATAAGATTGACTGGAAAACAAACGAAACAGTGATAATACGAGACTTCTAGTTCGAATCAGGAAGTGTGGCGGTCGGAAGAGGAAGGGAAAAAAAAGAGAGAAGGAAAACGGGGGCCTTCAGTAAGCGAGCTTGCGTAAGGGAGAATGAGGACAGAAGGAAAGACACAGGTCATGCGTGTGCTAGGGAGTATGAGGGAGAGTTTGTTGAGAAAGGGAAGAGAAAGCTGGCGTTTGGGAGCGCTCGAGCTTTGGGGAAACAACGGAAGGAGGGAAAGGAGGGACGAACGAGAAAAAAAAAAGAAAGGGCAGAGAGAAACAAAAGGAAGGAAGTGCGGGGTGGTGAATCGCCAGCCACGCGCTTCGATATTCAGTTTCTGGGAAATTTACTCCGCGCGCCCGAAGATTCAGAAAGGCTTTCTGACAGAGACTGACGATGATCGGAAGCTGCGGGACGAGATGGCTGCGCCGCCGCCTTGTCGGTTTCTATCTCTCCCGTTTTACTTATGCTGATCTTGCGCGATTTTTATTTCTTTTCGTTGCGTGTGTGTAGACGCCAACGGCAACTACGCATCTTTGTCGCTTCCCCTTTGTCTTCGGCTCTGTTTCGGGTGCTGCTCGGATCTTGATCGCTTTCTTTCTCCTTTCGTCTCAACTGTAGGTATAGTGGTCATGAACCCATGCGCTTTCTTCATACGCATGGTGCCCGAATCTCATTCTATAGGATAACGTGAGAGGTAGTGATAATACATGTTGCACGTGGAGTCGCACTGGTGCATTACACAGGTAGTCATGTCATATCGTGTAATACCTGTAGCAGCACAAAGTCAAGTCAATCAGGTCTGCGCGCTGAATGCCTCTGTATATACTATATGAAGCAAAGAAGCTAGGGGAAATTTAGGGACACGTCTTTCTTTGTTG